CAATTTTCCCATCCCATTTCTGCAGCAGCTCTCACTCCAGGGATAATTAGGAGGTTGGCCATCCTGTTTCCGGATAATTTCAGTGGGAATTGGGGGAAGAGAGCTAAATGCAGCTATTTTTAAAGCTTATTCTTCAGCCCCCCCCACACATACTGCATCAAACTGGGTGAAGAACTCCTCAGGTTTGCTCTCCACAGCCTCGGGGTCAGCTTTGACATCCACCATGGGGTTGAGGTTCTGTGCCCGCTCCAGCGAGGCCTCGGCTCGGTTACGGCCCAAGGAACCCACCGGGATGAGGAACTGAGCTCGAGTGTCCTCTTGGGAAACCTGAAATGGAAGAAAAAACACAGAGATGAGTCTTCCCATGGATTCAGGCAGGGTGGGAAAAGCCCCCCCAGGGAGAACGAGTGGAACTCCAGCCTGGAAGGCAACATCCTGTCTGCAAGAAAACTCGTTGTGCGTTTTCGCACGAGGAAGGGGGAAAAAAAAAACCCCAATCTTTGGATATTTTGAGCTATTTTTCAACCCCTCACAGTTTCATAGGTGGCTTCTCCTCACTCCTGAGCTCGCAGCTCCCTCTGGTGCTGGAGGAGAGGCTGCACTGTGACCTCGAGGCCACGCTGCTGCGAGAGCCAGCGATGTCTGACACACGGCACGAGGCTCCGGCTGGGGAATTAAAACCCACTGCAAAGGCTGTTTAGGGGTTCTGGGGTCCACGAGACTCTGAGCCCCACGGCAGAGTCTTTCTAGGGGATCTGAGGTCTACAAGGTGGTGGGAGTTGAGCCTCACATTTGCTTCACACATGCCTGCCAGCTCCAGATAAACGTGGGAAGGTGCTGTCATGACGGTGATAGAGCTGGGTGGAGGCAAAAGCCACATGTCCCCATAAATAAAGTGGATTCTTAGAGCAGGGGCCAGCACCCAAGAACGTAATGGAACTGGAGAAGCTGTGGTTCACCCCCCAGCTCAAGAGCTGCCAACTCTGCACGCCCCTAGATGGAATAATTCCAACCTGAGCAGATCGTTTATTCCCCAAAGCAGCGAGCAAGTCCTGAGCTGGCCCTGACTGCACCGAGGGGGTTTGGGAGCTCTGGGAGCTCCTCACCTGCTGATGGTCCAGCATGGTCAAGCCTTTGACTCCTGCCAGGATGAGATTCTTTGCCACTTCTGCTCCGAGACCCTTCATCCCCACCAGCAGCACCCGGGAAGCTCGTAGCCTGCAGCAGAAACAGTCAGTCAGCATCAAGGGCTCCACGGAAACATCCCCCAAGGGTTGGGGTGAAGGAGAATTGGTGCTTGGAGGGAAAACTTGGCAGCTAAATATGGGAAAGCTGCACCCTAGCTGGGATAAAAAGCAGGTTCAATGCAGTTTGTGAAGAAAGAGAAACATGCAGGCTGTCAGAAATGGGTAGATCAGGAAAACGTATGAAAACAAAGAACATTTTCAGCTTTGGAAGAATAAGGAATAACACCCAAGTCTTCACTGCTTTTTGGGGTCATGGATTCATTACAACACATCCTTTGGTGTTCCCAAAAAAAGAAAAAGGACCAAGCAGCTGGGATGGGATGTGGATAAATGATAATGAATGGGAAATTCAGTCTTTTTCCATATATTTATTCCAGCGTGCCAGTTTGAGGGCTGCCAGCTAACTGCCTGATGTGTTCTCATCACCTTCTAGGATTTAGATGTTCCCTCCTCCTTTGAAGTCTGTTATTGCTTCGTTACTGGTCAGTTCTCCAACAAAATCTAGTTTGCTCAGTACTGAGCAATAATCAGGGCTTTTCAAAGACTCTGCTTTTTTGGCTGTTTTCACACTTGCTTTTACCTGCATTCAGCAACATTGCCATGTTCATCTTCACATTTTGGGGTTCTATCTTTCTCCAAAGTCAAAACTTTTGGAAGAGGTTGGGCAATAACCCCACAGATCCCTCCAAGCCCCTATATGCTTATGTACCCCCACTGCCACCCCCTCTCTGAAGCCCTTAAGGACCCCTCACAGTGGCTGCAGTTGCCCCTACATGGCCCTCCCACATATTACAGGATCCCCACAAGTTCCTAGAGTCCTCCACAAGCTCCTGTAGGTCCCTCCTGAGCCCTTCCAAGCTTTCCCTCACACTGCAACGTCCCACCAAGCTTCTATAAGGGCCCCTCACATTACAGGGCTCGTACAGCAGCCGGCCCCTACAGCCCTTACACCCTCCCCACAAGCTCCCTTCACATTGCAGGGCCCTCCCCAGGCCCCTATAGGACCCGCCACAAGCCCCTATACACCTCAGTAAAGATGCTCAAGGCCCCGCCTCACA